TCTGACTTCTGATTGAGCAATAAATAACAGTTAAAATGCACCAGAATGCAGTATTATACATACAGTTTTTAAAAATTTTCCATACCGTGGGAGGGGGACACCCCCACCCCCCCCCGGTGGCTTCGCCCCCTCGTGTCCGCTTACTGCCCCCCCTGGCAGTTTGCTCAGGCTACGGCCCTGCAATCTATCTCTGAGGAGTTTCTGGCTAAATTGCATTCAGTTTAAGGCTGTATTCCCAGAGCTTTTAGATCGATCTATCCCCGCGGGGAGTCTCACTAGATTACTGTCTGATAATCCGGCTTAAATGTCCGTCCTGCCTACTACAAGCTGTAAGGGGGTAATTAACTTTCATGTCCGCTCAGCTGACAGCTATTTAGCGTGAACCCCCAGGTAGTTAGGTCGATCTAAAGTAGATCGATCTAATCTCTGGAAATGGGGTCTCAGTGTGCACAAAGTTAATTACCCCCCTAAGGTCAACATGCCAATTAAGGGATAATTTATTATCCAGTTAGCCAAAAAATAGCTGGTTGTAAACTTGCCATAATTGTCTATCCCTCCAATTCATAAATGTTTGCCAAATGATGTAGCAATGTATAATCCATTGCTGTTAGCATAATAAGATCTAATTATCAATATGAGTTTTGGGGAAAACAAATTATACAAGGATTATACAACATGTAGTTTACATGTACAGTATAGTGCAGCAAGAAAGCAGGAATTCTCTGTTCATTTATTATTTTTCAGGAAATATAAAACAAAACCCTTTGGTGTTTATTGAAGTTATTCTTTATTGGTCGGATTTAGAGGCAAAGGCTCTAACCTGTAAAATACTGAAATGTCAGACAGCTTAGGCCTTTTCCTTCAAATGTAAATATTCGCGCGTTTGATAAGGTGGCATTGCAAGCCAATATTTTCGCGCGTATATAATTATCAGTAACCGGAAGTAAACTAAGAATCACATGACAGCAAAAACAAAACTAGGTATGTCGGATCAAGTAAGTTCTTACTGATTTAAATCGGATAAATTAAATGAAATACATTCTGTCAGCCATTATATATGTTACCTTCGTCCCTCTCTCTCTCTCTCTCTCTCTCTCTGAGCATATTTTATAATGATTTTTAGCCGTCATCAAAGTTGATTGACAAAAATGCTACTGGTAGTACTGGTCAAGTCATCTTGATCGGTTTATTGATCGTTAAAAAAAACTTGCTAAATCGGTCAAAATCGCTACTGAATGGGGATGCGTTTCTTTCTTAGTAATTACACTTACAGTAAATACATATTGCATTTTACTTCTTAGGGAACTTAAGAGAGGTGGTGGGTTTGAAGAACCAAACACAGAGATGAATGCCATTATCTCCTTATGCCATTTCTGCGAAATCCATGGGCCAAGTGTCCTGTTTTGCACACAGGCTTTCCATGCAGAGAACAGCCCTCAGCAGATAATAGAACATGATCAAAACTGCTCTTCTAGTTTGACCGACAGTGGCTCTTACTATATCCCACAGCGTCTGCAGTCACCCTCTACCCCAACAGGTGGTGGGGATCAGGCTACACATAAGCTTTCTGGAAGTTGCGAAGTAAGGAGCTTTTTTTGTATTTATCACTAGTGCACTATGTGAAGAGAGGGTCCATCTCTCTCTCTCTCTCTCTCTCTCTCTCTCTCTTTATCAAAAATAACAAGTGAGACTTCCCTTTCAGTCAGGGATCTTTATTTGCAACACTTGCTGTGTAGGCAGGTAAACATTATAAATTCTGGGTTGAAAAATGCTATTATATTTGGAAAGTAATATCAAGATGCATTTATGTCATCTAGATATGGTAATTACTCGATCTTTTCAATGGGCAAAAATAACCAAACTTTAAGATACATAATTTTGTAATCACAAGTATATTTCTGTATGACATTGGTAAATCTTTTACTGTATAGAATATAACTATTAATTAACATCTTTTTTGTTTGGTTGCTATCACTCAATAGGATTGTTCTTATTTCATCCTGTAATTACTGTATGTTTTGAAATATAACAAAAAACACAATTAAAACTTCGTTTTCCATTTGTTAACCACTACAAGTATCTCTTTCAGCAGAAAACACATACTTATGGTAAATTTGTGAAATTACAATATTTTTCATATTGTTTTGTACATTTAGGCTTGCAGGTCCCTTCCCACAGGTCACTCCGGCTACATAAGCAATGATCATGAAGATAAAGTGAGTTATGTCAGCAGTCAACATCCAGCTCAACAACAGGTTTTCAGTATGGTGAGGCAGGCATGTGTTAGGAGCCTGAGCTGTGAGGTATGTTCATATACACAGCAGTACATAGCACATGTACAGTAGTATATAGTATACATATATATTCCGTATATTCATAAATGATATTTGCTGTTTCCGAGCACGAGCCTCAGATTCCCTAGCGCAAACGCCAATATTTACAAGCCCCACCTCAGATTAACAAGCTCAACGTAAAGTTACCGAGCACAAACTTAGCATTTCCAACCACTATCAATTTGTCCAGCTTCCATCGGGGGCCCGGGCTGCTTACATACGGGTTCTTTTTATCAACTCAGGACTATTTTCAAGATGGCAGAAGATACAAGAGACATAACGGTGGAACTTTCAGAGATTTCTGGGCGCAAACGAGTAATATTATCTCCTGTTTCTGTCTCTTTGACGAAAGAGAAAGGATTTTTAACGTCCACGCCACGGCCAAATAAAGTGGCTAGATCATTACTAACATATTTTGAAGAGAATTATCATGATCATTCTAAGCATGGACTGTGTGAGCAAATGACAAATAGGACGCAAGTAAAAAAAAATTCATCGACTATTTTCACTGACTAAGAAATATCTGTTTCCATGTATCAATATTTTAACTTGAGCAAAATAGAAAATATAAATAATTCTCAAAACAAACCAAACTACTGCATTAGTATATTCCACTATCCATACCGCGTATTAATGCATTCTCAACAACCTTCGGCTCATACGGAACATACCAAACGGGTAGATAAGGGATCAACGGCTAGTGCTTGCAAACGCTAAGTTAGTGCTCGTTAACTTAACATTGTGCTTATTAATCTGAGGTGGGGCTCGTTAATATTGGCGTCTGCGCTCGGGAATCTGAGGCTCGTGCTAGGAAACGCCTAATCCGTTTGTGAGGCCTGGTATATGTACATGCAAGTGTAATAATACTCAACTACACTGTCCTTAAGCTGAATTATCTGGCATAGCCTTTTTGTCTTCTCCATTGTTCAGATTAATGTATTAGATAATAAGGGGATGGGTTTTGACTGTGATATCATGCAGTTGAAAAAAAAGGAACATATTTGTAGCTGTTTTGTCATTTTTAGGTATGCCCTGGCAGAGAAGGCCCAATATTCTTTGGTGATGACCAAAATGGACATGTCTTGAGCTACACCTTTTACTTGAAAGACACTCAAGCCAGAGGATTGCAGAGGTGGTACAGCATCATAGTCGTGATGATGGATAAG